CACACGCATGCCGGTCACGTCGCACTCGGCTGCGAACCTTTTTAAGGAGCACTGGAGATCAGTTTCAGAAAATGCTAACAAATCAAGGTCGTCTGCAAACAGCAACCTTCTCGACTTCACGCCTCTTTCACCGATACACTCATCGCCTTGGCAGCTCCTGACTGTTCTATCCATGAACAACACAAGCAGGGTAGGGGCAAGACGCTGCCTTGGCGGAGACCAGTGGCTTATTTAATAGACCTTTTCAACTTAGAAAAGGCTTCGACATAACGTCATTTATTTTGATGCAGCACCTGCTTACAGAGTCATTGGAATGCATCAATCACTTATTTTCTGGCATGCCCGTCGATTGTTGTGTGCAATCCTTTCATAGGCTTTCTCCATGTAACAAAGCACATGTACACTGTCAAGCGAAATTCTCGAGCTCCCACTATTTCTCAACAATCTGGCGTAAGGCGAAGATTAGTTACAGGTGCTTCGGCCTGTCCTGAAGCTACCTTCTCTTCTTATGTCTCAGAGCGCAGTGGGATGCTGTTACTCAGCCATTTTGGCGCAGACCGCTGATGGGTGTTAGCGCTTAGTCCTGAAGTCGCCGCATTGAATCTGTATAAGTGTACAGTGGCCATCTATATCAGCTGAGTGATTCAGCCCATCATCCTATCGATGAATGAAATATTACGCTTCTGTCAAATTTTTGAACTTTTTATTACGATGGGGTTAATGTATGTCATTGGCTTATGGTCAACTATATCGATTGTTTGACTGCGCCTTTCATATTGCCTATCAATACTCCATACGAGTACAATGCAATGCCGTTGTCAAACTATGAATATCGATGATTTTCATTTTATTTTATGATTCGATCGTCGCGACTGCTCAAGGTCGTTAATTGAGTGCTTTATTGTTTGATCTGGATTCGAAGTTGATTTAATTGCAGGTCGCATGTGGCAAATGATTGATTTAAACCTTCACGTCATACATCGTCTATAAGCTCTCTGTGTCCACAATATGAAACTTTCGTCATAAGTATTAATTTCACAGCTCGCGTCTTCGTCTTATGATTTCACTATGACTATTTCGCAAGCTCATTAAACCAGCATAACTCAACGTTAACAATAACAGTCATAACGATCACTAGTTTGAATTTATGGATTTTCAGAAGTCTATCTCTGTTGTCTCTGTGACTAATTGCATCATGTTACATATCAACAGAATGCTCTCTCTGAGAGTAAAGTTAATTTTATCACAATACTTAATTTGTATATGGATGTAAGTCAACAGTTCCTCTATCCTAGTATCACATACTTCTACTCTGTATCAGTCATTGTATTCAACAAACTGTTAACTAGATAAACAGATGAAAGCGCTATCATTTTGTTTCATAAAATTTTAAACTTTGAATATCAGCCGAATGAAACTTTCGGAATCGAACAACAGTGAAATTAAACAAGCAAAAACTAATTCTCTTCATCATAAAAATAATTTTAATCATACAGAAACATTATATTACTGCGCCATTTTGCAGTTGTACGCTAACCTACGATGATAAGTAATAACGTCCCTATTATGACGATCATTCACAATAGACTTTATTCTTTCGTCCGCGTCTCGATATTTCTTCAACTTGACTGGTGGATGATGACCGGCAGCAAGTTATTCGTAGTATGTTTGCCGGTCCTTCTGCACTCAGCGGAATCCATCAATTAACTTCCATACCAACGAGTGCGACATTCCCAATTTCGACTGAATTCGTCGATCGACTGCATCTGCGTGGATATTAGTACGGTCTTCACTGTGGATCCTCCCAAGAATAAACCGTTCACGCTTCTGATGGAAACAGCACCAGTCGTCTTGTATTTTTCAACGATTGAATCGACCGACTTGGTTGTCTTCGAACCACCCAAGAAGCAGTCGAAGTTCGCTGGGAAGTTCTTCCGCCAGTCTGTCAATCGCTTGATCTGACTGAGCAATCCGTACAAACACTAACTCCGTTATTATCCTCGCTTTTAAGGCAAAATCAGCAACGGAATTATAAGCATCAAATAAATGCAGTTCGCCCAAATGCTTCTTTATGTTGCAATCCAGATGGTAGAAACAACAATGAAGTTGAACATATGAGAATGCGTTTGTCATCGCATGCATCAGAGCAGTTTTGAAGTCAGAAGAAATCAAATCCGGAAAAAGTGATGGCACCAATGCTTGCATCTTTTGAAAGAGTATGTGGCATGTGGCCTCCTGCTTGCTTGACAAAAGAGCATGTGCAGCAGGATGGAAACCACATGGCCTTTTTCCTCCAGTCTACAACTATGCGGAAAGAGTAGCGATGCAGGTGGCAAACCATCTTCGAGCTATGATCTTGATTACAGCAAGATTTGCAGGTTTCTCTGTGTGCCAAAGATCAATATTCAATTATGTCCAGGTCAAATGTCGCTGATCAGAAACCGTTCAAAAGCACCTCGTGACGGCTCGCATTTTTTGCACTATTCAGGCAGAACCAACATTTCTAAATTCAACGGAGGCTGGTGGAACATCTTTCATGCCATTTATTCCTCTTACGACGATTTTCTTAAAATTAGGAAGAGTTTGAAGAGCAACCTGAACTCTTTGCAGGGGTTCATCCGTCAGCTGGTTTATAACTTGCACGGTCGCCTCCAAACATTCCTCAGCACGCCTTTTAATCCCGGTGACAAGTTCTGCTACCTCCACACCAATGGTCGAACTGTCATGTGAGTGCCCATTAAGTTTCCGAATAACGGCCTTACTTGTTGTATGAATCCTCACCTCATTATGGTTACTTTTTTCACAGCGCCAAACCTTTATTGTTCCTTTACTGCTCTTCCTATCGAACACGTAGCAAAAGCCCTACGACGAAACTTTTTCCCGAACGCGTTTCGACAGCAGTATCGGCATCCTCAATATACTCTGTGACTCGCGCATCCCATATCCGTGATGACTGCAATGCGCTCTTAATGTTCGCAGTAGCGAAATGGCAATGTAGGGGCCCTGTTGGTTGTATGGTTTCAAGAAATTCCTCAGAATTGAATTATTAAATCAAAATTCCTTGGAGTCCAAATATTTTACCAATTCTTCGCTGATCTTCTTCATAAAGAACTATCCATCGACAGACAATGCGATTAAAGAAAGTGACAGTGGGATTGAGATCAACGTCTGCAAAGTGCATAGATTCGAATTCTCAGTTAAATGCTGTCCACTGATTTACTGACTTGACGTTAACTATCATAAAATTACACAGAATTTTCTACATTCACAAGTTCAGTGATCTACTGATAGATGAAGGATGGTTAAATCAATCGTGTCATACTTTTAGTATAAGTGAATTACATAGTTTGAACTCGTCATTAAGTGTCTGTGACCTGACGTTTAGTGGACCTGCGTCATCAGCACAGTGGAATCATTAAACAGAATTTAAAAATTCAATGTTTTGACAAGAATTCTCGTTCTCCTGCCCGTTGCTCTCTTCAGATTAACGGAGAGGCAGTGGAGCAGGTGGAGAAGTTCAA